TTATATGTAATCTGCTCATTTAAGTTCTTTCAGTTAGATTTATATGTATTACCTTGTTAATCTCTATATACTTTATTATAAACTGTCATATAATATGTGATTTGTTTGTTCATTCAAAATGTTTATTGAATGCTATTCTGTGCTAGAGAGTATCTAGATTCTTGGGTTTTTGATGTTGAAAAAGTAGACTTGGTTCTTTCTCTCATGGAGCAGTCTAATAGGGGAGATAGACATTAAGTAAATAAACAAGTAGCTTTACTTTGTAAACTTCTCTAAGTACTCTATAGAATAATAACAGATTGCTGTGATGGTAGGATCTCAGACTGATTAGATGTGAGGATCTGTGAAGGTCTTTCTGAAGAAAGATTATGTAGGTACCAGCTATGTGAACAATAAAACTGGGGTTATCAGGGTAGTAGGAGAGATAGACTGGAATAGCCTGCCTCCAGTGATTGGTCCTTTTAAGGAATTTGTGGCTAGAGCGACAGAGTAGAACATGGAGTTGGAGAGAGTGGCGGGGATCAGATTATTAAAGCAGTTCCTTATAGATCATGTTAATGAATCTTGGATTTAATTTTAAGGAGAAGCCAGTGAAGATTTTTAAACAGAGGTTTGATCAGATATATACTTAAAAGATCATTGTAGTTTTGGGAAGACTGATTGAGGGGGATGTGGAGAGCATCAGGACTAGAAGCAAATAAACCAATTAAGATGCTGTGATAATAGTCTAGATAGGACATTCAGCTTTGAAATTCAAGGTATATTCAAGATGCCCTTTAGATATTGAAGATGTATTTTGGAGATAGAATCAATAGGCTTAGTGATGGATTGTATGTTGTTGATGAGTGAGAGAGAAAGACTTTTGGGTAACTAGGTACAGAAATAGAAAAGATTGATAGAAAAAGTAGGTTTAAAAAGATTAGAGTTAGTTTTAGATGTGCTAAGTTTGAGATGCCTATGAAACATCCAAGTGGAAATAGTGAATAGGCAGCTGGAATATATGAGGTAGAATGAGCTAGAATAGATGGCTATATGAGTTTTGTGCTCAGAGGAGGAGTCTGGACTAAGGTTATAAATTTTAGACCCTTGGGCATATAGATGATATTTATCATTGGCAATGGGATGATATAAAGTAGGAAGAGAAGAGCAATGGACTCTGAAGAAACAACTAACATTTGGATATGGAGGGAACGAGAAAAACCAGAAGAATTCAGTGTCATGTAAGCCAACAGAAGACAGTGATTTAGGAGGGAGGATTGATACGATGTTGATAATAAAAAGACATTATTTTAGGAGGTGCCAACAGTTTTGAGGATGACTTTGGATTATGAAGCTGAGGTTACATAATTATGAGAAATCATTGTTTCTAGGCAGTAATTTATATATTTTAAGTTATTTACTTCAGAGAGGAAGGGAAAGGGAGAGAGAGATAGATACATCAGTGATGAGAGAGAATGATTAATCGGCTGCCTCCTGTATGCCCCACACTGGGGATTGATCCTACAACCCGGGCATGTGCCCTGACTGGGAATTGAACCGTAGCCTCCTGGTTTATAGGTTGATGCTCAACCACTGAGCCACGCCTACCGGGCAGTAGTTTATTTTTATTTATTTTTAGCTCTGAAGGCCAGGATTGCAAATGTGTTATGGTTCCCTTAATCTGTAAAGTGAGAGAACAGAGAGAAAGCAAGTTCATATTGTCCTGGTAGTATCTGAGACAGTAGTGTCTTGGTCTTAGATAAGATGATCTCTTGAGCACTTACAGTTTGCCAGACATTGTTCTTTACACTGTATTCTTGAGGTTATATTCTTACTTAATCCACATACCATCTCTAATGAAGTAAATAGTATCATCCCTTTCTTTCATAGGTTAAATAACTTGTCCAAGTTCACAAAACTACAAGTGAAAGCTGAGTTTGAAACAAATTCGTCGGATTTTACAATCAGTGCTCTTTACCACTTTATTATAATTGTCTCTTAAGCAAGAATGTCTTTAGCAGCAGTGTTGTCAGGTTTTAGAAATGTAAACTAGAAGAAAGACGATTATTTAAGAGGGGGGAAGCTATTTCTTTGTGTTTATATTCTCTAATTAGAAAATTGAAAACTAAAAGATTAGCAATCAAAACGGGAACTTCACCTGATAGCTTACTTTGTATGATTGCCCTGAATTCTGTTTGGTTGTTGAAAATGGTAAGAGCTAGTTAAAACAGTAGTACTAGATTATTTAATAACAGATAGAATGGATAAAGGATGGCTCATTTCTAGAATATTATTAATTTTTGCTTTTTGAACAGAACAAACAAGCTATAAAATCTCCACCTAGTGGCAACTTTGGGTTACTGCATACTTGACAGAAGTGTCTGGCCTTGTCCCTGGGACACTTAACTGCTTAGAAGTATAGTCAGAAGTAGTGCTAGACTATGACACAGAGCATTTTATTTATTTATTTTTTGACACAGAGCATTTTACATACATTATTTCATTTGCTACTTCATAACAGTACTAGGAAGTAAGTAGTATTAATTCCCATTTTTACAAATGAGAAACGGAGACTCATACAATTTAAGTAATTTGCCAAAGATGAGAAACTAACAAGTAGTTAGCATGCATACTAAATTTTTTTTGAGTGGGTGTGTTAGTGGTGAGGAGATGGGAGAGAGATTATCTGAACAGATTATTAAATATGCTATATTTAGGAATGGAATAAACTGCCCACTTTTTAAAAGAGTCTTGATACCCACTTTTTAAATTATTCTCCAAAGGGATTGTGTCAGTTTACATTAGTGTTGAGAAGGAATATTGGTACTCTTTTGTCCAAATCCTTGACAAAATAGGAGAACATTTGGTTTTTAAAGTTTCTTTAGTCCTGAATTATCTACCAGTTAGTTTGGTTATGACAGATTATTTATTGTAATTTATAAGTGCCATTATATTTTTTCCTGTGAGAGATGGGAAACAGAATGTGCTTTAAAATAATATCTCTATATAAAAGCCTAAACAACCGAACGACAGAACAACTAGTCAACCGGTCACTATGATGCGCACTGACCACCAGGGAGAAGATGCTGAATGCAGGAGCTACCCCCTGGTGGTCAGTGCACTCCCACAGTGGGAGCACAGCTCAGCCAGAAGCTTCCCAGGCAGCACTACCAAGCAGCGGCAGTGGCAGGCACAGCGGGGCTGGGATGGGCAGGAGTGGTGCCCAGCCCTAGCTGGGGCTCCTCCCCAGCTGCCTGCTGCTTCGGGCACTACTACATCCCTCGGGGGACATCGGACTGCCAGTTTCGGCCGATCCTCAAAACTGGCAGTCTGATGTCCTGGAATGTGAGAGGGCACAGGCCAGGCCGAGGGACCCCACAGGTGCACGAATTTGTGCACTGGGCCTCTAGTATTTTTATAAAGATAAATATTTATAAATGGGATAGATTAGAACAGAGTGACTATCAGCAAGGAAACTAGATAAGTGATACTTGGTTTGGATCGTAGCAGAAATAGGTGGAAATAGGAGTGAACTTACGAGATAATAATATCAAGGAAGAATTAACAGGACATGGAGACTGAGCAGGATGAAGGAGAAGTCAACAATGAATGTGAAACTTAACTTTCTTTAGAGGCCCAGAGTAATTTACATATGTAAAAAGATATTTACATATATATTTAAAATTCACATAACATAAAATTCACCATTTTAACCTTTTTAAAGTGTACAGTTCAGTAGTTTATAGTATATTTACAAAGTTGTGCAACCATTACTACTAATTCCAGAACATTTTTATCACCTTCCCCTCCCTGCTTCATACCTTCCAATTTCAACCTCTTCTCATCCCCTGGAAACCCTATCTCCCTTCTGCCTGAATTTGTTTATCTGGACATTTCATATAAATGGAATCATACAATATTTGGCCTTTTGTGTCTGGCTTCTTTCACTTAGTAATGTTTTCATGGTTCAGCTGTGTTACAGTATATATTAATCAGTACTTCATTTCTTTTTATGGCTGAATAGTATTCCATCACATAGATTTTACTTGTCCATTCTTGAATTGATTCTTTTTTGTGTGTGGCTACTATGAATATTGCTTCTGTAAACAATTGTATACAAGTTTTTGTGTAAATATATATGCTTTTAATTTTCTTGGGCATTTTACATTCCCACCAACAATGTATGAGAGTTTCAGTTTCTATCATTGCCAATACTTTTTATTTTACATTTTAAAATCGCTATCTTAGTTTATATGGATGGTATCTTACTGTGGCTTTGATTTGTATTTTTCTAATGACTGATAATGTTGAGCATCTTCTCATGTAAATGTCTATCCAAATTCTTAGCCCACTTTATTTTTGCAAAGGCTTTCATCATTTATTTTCCCATTTAACTTAATAGATGCCTATTTCACTGGATCCATTTCTCCATAAAGCATTAGTGACACATACTTATACTTTTTTCTTCTAAATTCTGTTGCAAACAAATATATTTATAGGTTACTTATAGTAGTTATATATTCTTCCCTTTTTATTTTTGTTGTTTTTTTATTGTAGTAAAATATATATAACATAAATTTTACCTCTTTAACCATTTTTAGGTGCCTAATTCAGTGACATTAAGTACATTTACAATGTTGTGCAAGCATGATCACTATCCATTTCCAAAACATTTTATCATCCCCCAAAAGAAACTCTGTACCTGTTAAACAATAAGATTAGAGAATTTATAATATTTTTGGGATGTCTTGAAATGGAACCTGGTTTATATTATATAAATCTATTTCAGCTTTGATTCATTTAAAGGAATATGTAGCAGATTGTGTTCTTTAATTTTTATAATTGTCATTGATTGTTAGTATTTGTGAAAGGATGATTTCTTGAAATGACAAATGTACTTGTTTTGAAAAAAATATTTTACCATTATATATAATGCATATAACTTAGTTTTATGTATTGCATATAATTTGAAGTTGAAAATACACACACATATATATGTGCTGTATAACTTATTATTTTAGGAAACCCAAGAATATACTCGAAATGTTGTTAGATATTGCCTTGAAGCTCTTCAAGACTGGTTTGATGCAATTAACTTTGTAGATGAGGTATGTACATTTTTGATATATGTAAAAGCATTTAAGAAAAGAACTGTTAGATTACATTTAACACTGAAAATAATGAATACCTTTTCATAGGACAAGGGAAAGAAGTCAGAGTGAATAATATCACTTGGAGTGCGGGTGAATTTCCCGCCAAAATATAAGATGGCTCTGTCTTTTGGTTTTGTTCCATCCACCAAAAGGGTGGATTACAAACAAATATTTGGTAATACGCAGTTACAATCGGCCCGAGTTTACACGTTTCCCGCACTCCACCACAAATCTATATGAACCGAGTTAAAGACGGCTCCCGCGGAGTACGCGCAATTCACGCGAGCCGACTTAACTCGTTTCCCGCACTCCAAGTGATATCATTAAGTTTTATAAAGGAAGAAGTGGGACACCAGTTCTTTGACATCTAGGAGGTTCCACAGTGCATTACTTATGTTTGTTTATTTCCTAGAGAAGGGCATGATATTTTTTCCTGTGCTTAAATGTGTATGTCTCAGTATTTGTCAGGAGTAAATTAGTTTTATTTGAAGAGGTAAAAATGACAGTGCAAATGTGAATAGGATGGGGAATATTGATGGAAACAGTATCACAACTTTTTAAATTGGTCATCGTTCTTGAGAGGGTTTGAACAAAGGTGCTTGTTATTAATAATGAATAACATAGAACAGGCTCTGTATGAATTAAGCAAGGTCTTGCTTCTAATTAGTCAGACACGTTTACTATTAGAAGCCCCTTTTATTCCTCTTATAAAGTGGCATTACAATATGCCATATGTAGAAGGAAGACCATGTTTCAGACTACTTCAATTCCCTGGGTGATTTTTGAGTCCTACACAGATGGAACCTCTGCTGTTTTTTGTTGTTGTTGTTGTTGTTTTTTTTCCCCAAAACTGAAACTAACCCATTAAATTCCCCTTCCCACACCCTAGCCTTACTCCACCATTATACTTTCTGTCTCTATGATTTTAACTAAGTAACTCATATAAGTAGAATCACATAGTATTTGTCTTTTTGTGACTGGCTTATTTCACTTAGCAAAAAGTCCTCAAGGTTCATCCATCTTGTAGCATGTGTCAGAAATTTCTTCCTTTTTATGGAAGGCAAACTTTTATTTATTAGACTAATTTATAGACTTTTATTCACATAATGAGGAGGATGCTATTCTCATATTTTTGAAAAAAACTTTCACGGATCTGACATATTGCAGCTCTTTATAGTTCTATACTGATACTACATTAGCATTATTATCTGAATGTTCTGGACAATATTTTTTTTTAAATATATTTTATTGATTTTTTATAGAGAGGAAGGGAGAGGGATAGAGAGTTAGAAACATTGATGAGAGAGAAACATCGATCAGCTGCCTCTTGCACATGTCCTACTGGGGATGTGCCCGCAACCAAGGTATATGCCCTTGACCGGAATCGAACCTGAGACCTTTCAGTCCGCAGGCTGACGCTCTATCCTCTGAGCCAAACCGGTGCTGGCCGGACAATATTTTTTAACATGAAAAAACTTTACTAAAATTTATAAAAGCATTAAAAATACTTTTTTAATTTTTTAAAATTTCTTTAAAAAAGACAGCTATTGTGTATTTTTGCCCTATAGTGATAGTGTGACCCATAGGATTCACACATTTAAAATACAAATTCTATAATAGTCACAAGGTTGCCAAAAGTCTTGAAGATATATTGTACTAAGCTTAATTATGGAAGTTGTGTGTTCAGCACTGATATGGGGAACATCTCACTTAGCTCGTGAAGGAACCTAGGCAAGCATTTCACCTATACTCAGTTTAGGACTATAATCAGAGGCTCTTACCACTCTGAATATAACAGTGGGTCCAGACTAACTTCTACTTGTTAGGAAGTTACTTATGTTTTCTAAGTTTGAATTTCCCTTTTTATAAAATGAGACTATTAATAGTTCCTACTTCACAGGATTTTTATGAGGATTAAATGGGGTAATGTGAATAAAGGGGGACTGTCACATGATGAGTGCTCAATGTCGGTGAGCTGCAGTTGTTCATGTTACTAGTATGTGTTTGGTATGCATGCATTTGAAGATTCCCAAGTGGCCTACTGTGAAGGGACATCTCTCCCATTTCTTACTCTGTGCTGGGGCTTCAGAGGCTTCAGAGTTGAGTAGTATGCAGTTTTTGCCTTCAGGAACTTAGATTTAGGTGTTTAAAATAGAATAGTTTTATCTTTCTATGTATTTTTTAAAGCTATACTTCTAAAATTTTAAGTCTTGATTAAAAATATAGGAATAAATCAAGGTGAAAGTGTGGTTTCAACATTTTAAAACCTTCTTTGAACTTCTGTCAAACATTCTTTGACTTGTGGATTTTGTTTGTTTATTCCAGCCAGCTCCCAACCAAGTCACCTTTCATCTGCCACTACATCGTTACTATGCTATGTTTCTGAGTAAGGTAAGATTATCATTAAACAATTCTTTTTTTTAATATTAGAAAATATATATTCAATTAGTAACTTTTTAATCATATTTTTTAGGCTGTGAAATGTCAAGAACTAGATTTGGATTCTGTTTTACCAGATCAGGAAATGTTAATGAAACTAATGATTCATCCACTCCAAATTCAAGTACGTATTCAGGCTTTTAAAGCATTTTGATTGAATTATTTGGTTAAATGATTCTTCCTTTATTTTATTTTTATGCCATTATCATTGTTTTAGTAGCCAAAATGTTTGAAAAATTTTTCTGGGGTAGGAGGCGGGGGGCGAGGGCAGGCTAGAAGGAATCAATGGGGGAACAAGAGGACTTATGTAATACTTTCAATAATAAAGATTTAAAAAACATTAAACTTAGTTTTGATATTTTTGCTAGGTTATATTTAGGAATTTTTGCTTTTATGAGATTTACACTTAGTTATAGTTTTCTCAGGAATTATTTTCACTATATTTATTTGTAGGGAAAGTTTATAGCACTGCTTTGGGGAGTTAGTAGACCTAATGGATTATAGCCTTGGTGGCACCACTATTTTATTATCCATGTTGTTTGGGGTAATTCACCTACTTGATTTGTCTCAAATATTTCTCATAGATTCCTTATTTAATATTTCAGTGAATATTACTATAAATATATCCAGAAGCCATCACTAAATAACTCTTATAAAACTAACTCACATATACAATTCCAACAAAAGAGACCACATAAACCATTTAAAAAATTTAAAGTATATATTTGAATTGAATGTCTTAAATTAACATTGGACAGAATGTCAGGCTCATACTGTGATTAAGTTATAAAATATTTTGGAGTGATTTTTCAATATAACATATTTTATAAAGATTGAATTTAGATGACTTCTTTGTCCAATTTACATAATTTTTATTTTACTAGGCAAGTCTTGCTGAAATCCACAGCAATATGTGGGTAAGAAATGGTCTGCAAATCAAAGGACAAGCCATGACCTATGTTCAATCTCATTTCTGTAATTCCATGATCGATCCTGACATTTACCTATTACAGGTAAGCCAACTTGATAATAGATGTTGTACTTTAGATTGGAAATGTCTCATTTGTACCCACAGGATTCTAATTTATTCATAGGACTGAATGACAACACAGAGAGGTCATTGCTATTGAAAGAAGAATTTGTTCATTACATTTCCCAAGAGAAGGGGCCATGCCACATCATGCAGGACCACAGAAGAAGCATTAGATTTGTGCAGGAAGTGGAAGCAGGAGGGGGGAAATATAAGAGTAGAACTTTCTCTCTCTCTATCTTTTTTTTTTGGTGTTTCCATAGGAAAGGCAAGTCAGGGCAGAGGAAACACTTTAGGATTGGCTAGTTTGAATAATTTTGGTGGGTTTTTGCGGCATAGGGACTGTCCCTGTCTATCTGGTACTTGGTCCTGGATTGATTTACTGTAGGGGGCATACTGGATGGTGTATGTGAGTTAGATAAAGGGGGTGACTGACTTGCATATAAGAGGCTGGCTCCCAAGTGAGTTATTTACTCTCTCTAGGAATTAGCTCTCCTTGAGAGTACCTGGGTAGTCTCTTGCAGGGTCTGTAAGGCCTCCCCAAGATTTCAAAACATCATAGATGCAAAAAATTAAAAAAAAATACCCAACATGATTGATATAAGAGGTAAAACTGAATATGGAGAAATAAAATTGATGGTTTTGATTTTTTTGTCTTTTGAAGGTTTGTGCTTCTAGACTTGACCCAGATTATTTTATTTCATCTGTCTTTGAAAGGTAAGCATACTTTTATAAGACAGGTATTAGGAAGTATTTGAAATTTAAGTTAATTTTGTTTTAACATTCAAAAAATTTGTCTCAAATATTTCTCATAGATTTAAGGTAGTGGATTTGTTGACAATGGCGTCGCAACATCAAAACACAGTACTTGATGCAGAGCATGAGAGGTCGATGTTAGAAGGCGCTCTTACATTTCTTGTGATTCTTTTGAGTCTTCGTTTACATTTAGGTAAAAAGCAGTGATACTAATACTTGGGTATTAAATATTTTCTTCCCTTTCCTCTCCTTCCCAGTGTTAATAACTGGCTTATGGAAAAAAGGAAAGGATGTGCACATATTTAAACAGTGTTTCAAACTTAATATGTTAAAACCCTTAATTTAAGGGAACTGCAAACAGCAGGTAGTTAAAATGCAGTTATATTTGGGGCATTGTATTCTTTGCTTTTTAATTTTTAAAGCATCTTATTTTTGGTAAACAGCTTAATAAAATGTGTGATAAGTTGTTTCTTTATAATTTGTTAATTCAGATTTATTAATTCTGTTTTTAATTATTTTAGGAATGTCTGATGATGAGATTCTTAGGGCAGAGATGGTAGCCCAGCTGTGTATGAATGACAGGACACATAGTTCATTGCTGGACCTCATATCCTTTTAAAAGTTTAATTTACTAATAGTTGCAGGATGTAAATAACAAGTAATTTTTATAGATTAAAGATATATCACTTTTTTGACTAAACTTTTTTTTGAATTTGAAAATAGTATGGAAAAAAGAACTCCAAGTGTTTGTTCAATTGTGTCTTCAGGGCTAGTGGCAGATGTTTTTGCCTCTAATTGTCACCTCTCAGGGAGCTCTTTTTTTTTTTTTAATGTATTTTTTATTGATATCAGAGAGGAAGAGAGAGGGAAAGAGCAATAGAAACATCAGTCTTGAGAGAGAATCATTGATTGACTGCCTCCTGCACGCCCCCTACTGGGGCTCGAGCCTGCAACCTGGGCATGTGCCCTTGACCAGAATTGAACCTGGGACCCTTCAGTCTGCAGGCTGATGCTCTATCCACTGAGCCAAACCGGCTAGGGCTCTCGGTGAGCTCTTGTTAGGCCTCTGTTAGACCTCAGGACTGATGGCTCTGGGCACCCAAGGATATGTATGACCTTCTAGGACAGTATTTGTGAAAGAAAGCTGGACACCTTGTAAAAGGCAGCGAGTACTTTATCGTATAGCCTGGCTGGAATTCTGGTTAAAGTTTAGAGGTTTGCCTTATAATTATTATTACCAGGGTTTTAAACATTCTGAGGATTTTTTCTTCGAGTTTACTATTAAACCAAGAAGTTTTTAAGGGCAAGGATTGTTGTCTATAACTTTGAAAACTTAATGGTTCCTTGTATAGGACTGAGCATACATGGATATGTTATTTTTTGTTGTTATAAAATCTTAGACCAAGATCATCATGTTATTTTGTGATAAATATTTTTTCTTGTAAATTTTTGACTAAATTACTTTGTATATTGTGAATATGTTTGGAATAATTTGCTACAATTTTGTGAAATGACTCCTATTGGAATTCCTGTTTGATAACTGAAGATTTTCATAAGCAGCATCCTGTTGTTGTTTTAGAATTTTTAAAACAATTATATACTGTGTATCAGTGCTGTAACAGAGCAAAAGCATGTTAGAAATTTTGAATTTAAAAGAATTGTACACTTCAATGTGAAACCAGTGGGAAAGAGTCTGTGGTTTTCTGGTTTCCTTCTTTTAAAAAATTTGCTTAGCATCTTTTTCTTTTTACTTTGAGATGACATTTTGTGTTTTTGGAAAAACAATCTTTACTCGTAAAAATCTTGGTTAATTTTTAGTCTGCTCTCTTTGATTTTCTAAGGGAAAGCACACATTTGTAAAATGCTGAAAATATAAATTATTTTTTTTAGAGTTTTATTTTTCCTTTTCTGAAATTTGATTAATTAGTTTTGGGGAAATATACTTGGGAACAACTTCAGCATATACTTTATTAGTAGGCTTCCAGATTAAAAATATTTTTAAAATTCACAATTATATATAGCCCTCTTGTGGCCAATTTCATGTATTACAGACAATTCTGCCTTTTTAGCAAAAACAGTTAGAAACTGGGGTACCTTAATAAGTTTATAAATCTGGCTTTTAGTCATGAATTTTTTTTCTTGACACATACTTCATATTCCAGAAAATCCAAATCCCAAAAGTGGCATTATTCCGGGCAGTTATAGCTTTGAATCAGTTTTATCAGCTGTAGCTGATTTTAAGGCTCCTGTTTTTGAACCTGGAGGTTCTATGCAACAAGGCATGTATACTCCTAAAGGTACGTTTATGTACATAAATTCTTTTAAATATCAGTTTTCCTGAAGGTGAGTTGTGTATACTGAAAAAAAATGTTTTGCCTTTCATTTATTCTGCTTTGGGTTTTTTCTTCAACTTTCTTATAGATGTATGTTTGTCCTTTATGGTATATAGTGATATTGCTATCACTTATTTGCAAATCTATGGTTTTTATATTTTAATAAAGCTTTTTAGATGACTGAATTATAAAAGGAACTTTATATATGAACTGTATCTAATTCATTTTTATAAGTGAACGAACTGTAAATAAACCACAAATTATAAAACAATATATATACCTAAAAACATTTTGAATGTATTTGCTTTCAAAATTTGATTTGGAAATAGTATTCACCACCCAAATTTTAATTTGAAGCAGGTGAAATTAAAATCTATATAGAATACTGAAACATTTTCTTACATTTTGAAAACATAGAATCGTTTCCTTAAATGGTTGATTTTCTAAGATTTCCCCTGGGATTTATAGATAACATGTGTGATAAGAGCCAGAAGTAGGTAAATTCTTGATTCACAGTCTTTTCTTTTTAACTTTCACATTTTCACTAATGTAAGGTAAAATTTTAAAAGAAGTAGCAGTTACATGCTTCATGACCACCTCAGTACTCGTTTTCTAAATGAAAAACTGATGCCCACTTTGAAGTTGTAAATAGAATGTACTGTGTTCGGCAAAACAGCTGAATAAGCCTTCTTGTGTGGGATTTTTCAGGGAGTTTACAAAGAATAACTCAAAGTTTCTGGTTGTGACATATTCCATTAAAGGAAAAGTTTTTCTTTGTTGCAGAGAGCAATTTTGTATCTAAAATTTAGGTGAGCTTCCAAGGGGAGTGGTGTTCTTATCTGGTACAGTGCGTGTTAAAGTGTGCGGTGAGGATTACCTCTGTCAGACTCATCTGTGGTCCTTATTGAAAACCAAATCTGCTCTCATTAAGATCGCTAGGGATGGATTCTGGGAGTATGCTTTTTTTTTTTTTTAAACAAGCTCTACAAGATGATTGTCATACACAATAAAGTTTTAGACACTGAGATGGAGCACTGGGTATTTGAAGATTAGAGGCAAGAAATTGGGTGTCGTATTCAAATACAGTACTGAATTGTATTAGCTAGTTGTGTGATGTTGAGAAAATTAGTTTATCTTTGGATTTGACTTATTTGCAAAATGAATGGTTTTTAAGGTTTTCAAAAGTGATTAAATAAACCTTTCTATAATTTTGGGGAACTAAGCCTTAAGTAAATCTGCTATACAAACCTGCTAAAAGCAGCCCGACTCTTGTCAAAGTGTGTGTGAGTAGCGGATATATAGATTCTTGTCTGTTTTGACACCTCCTTGCTCCAAAGTGGCCCCTGTTAAACCTCTGGAAATTCAGCTCCAATGGAACACTGTTTGAAGCCTTCTGGACTAGTTAAGCACTAAAGTTTTCTTCCATTGCTATGGTTTCATAATTCTAATAAAAGCATTGGTATTTTAATTTTACAAATTAATAGAGTTAAAAGTGAAGGACAATAAATGATAATAGAAACAGTAGCAAAAGTCTTTGTGAAGGACTATCTTAAGGATCTTAGATCATACTTATAATTTAAGACGAATAGTGTGTCCCATTTGACCCAGTAATCCCACTTCTAGGAATATATCCCAAGAAAACAGAAACACCAATCAGAAAGGATATATGCACCCCTATGTTCATAGCAGCACAATTCACCATAGCTAAGATCTGGAAACAGCCTAAGTGCCCATCAGCAGATGAGTGGATTAGAAAACTGTGGTACATCTACACAATGGAATACTACGTTGCTGTAAAAAAGAAGGAATTCTTACCATTTGCAACAGCATGGATGGAACTGGAGAGCATTATGCTAAGCAAAATAAGCCAGTCAGAGAAAGATAAATATCACATGATCTCACTCATTTATGGAATATAATGAACAACATAAACTGATGAACAAAAACAAATCCAGAGACAGAGAAGCATTGATCAGACCGTCAAACCTCAGAGGGAAGGTAGGGGAGGGTGGGGATAAGGGGGAGAGATCAACCAAAGGACTTGTATGCATGCATATAAGCCTAACCAATGGACACAGACACCAGGGGCGTGAGGGCATGAGTGGGGGGGGGGCATTGGGGGAATAAGGACACATATGTAATACCTTAATCAATAAAGAAAAAAAGAAAATAGGTACAACTGTTAAAAGTTTCTTATGTCAGAAAGTTGAAATTATAGTAGATGTATAGGAAGAATCTTAACCTTTTTACTATTAAGCTTCTTACTATGTTTCCAAATGTTGAGAATTCTGCTACAGATACTGAGAGGGGAAAAAGCTTAATTTAGGAAAGAGGTAGCAGTTTCTAGAATTATTATTCCATTGTGTAGATTTTGCCACATCTAAATATCATTTCTATTATTATATATGTAGTATACTGTGTTTTCTTAAATAGATTCACTTTTTTAAAACTTTGCCTCATCCTATGCATGATTATTAGTGAGATCACAGGTTTTATTTACAATGTACATTTTTCTAATACACATTAATATAATTATTAAAATAAAAAGGTTTGTACAGTTAATACTTAAAATCATCTTGTGTACCATCATACATAGGATAGTGGTTCATTATTATGGAGAAGGTAAGGAGATCAATTTCAATATGTCATTACCATGACAACTTTGAAAAGTGTTAATGCATTGTATTTCTCACTTTCTGGTTGACAATTTATAAAAAATATCCAGTGAACTAAATTTTTATGGTGGGGTATTATCATATAAAAATTTTTGCTCACTAGTTCTTGAGAACTTTCATAATGATGAAATTATGATTTTTGATTTAGAAAGTATTCATGACATCAAGCTTATTAAAGCAAATATATCTAATTAAACTCTCCCATCTTTTAAATTTAAAATATACTTAATGTAATTCATCATTAGAGATTGGCTTTATTCCTATGAAGTCAGTGTTTTGTTTCTACTTTCTTTTGAATAATAGCTGAAGTCTGGGATCAGGAGTTTGACCCCGTCATGGTCATTCTTCGAACAGTTTACCGTAGAGACGTGCAGTCTGCAATGGACAGATATACAGCATTGTAAGTTCGTTATATTGATTAGTATAATAATGGACATTTTGTATTTATGTAGAAACACTTCAATTATAACACAGATGTGATATGCTCTCATTAAAGTATGCTCTCAGTCTTTAGAGGAGAAAATATTTTAAGATAAAAAAAACAATCTGGCTGAGACTTATGTTCTCAAGATCTTGACCCAAAATCTGATTTTAATCTGATAAAAATAAATTTTATAAAACATAAAACCAGTGGAATTCAAAGATTGGTTTTATGTTGTTCTACTTTTAAACCACTAGAGGAGGCACAAGTTAAGAGAATAAAATTGTCTGATATCCGAGATAATGGGTATCAAAAAGTGTGGTAATATTCCTATTAACTGGGAAAATAGCCAAAATAAAATGAATTTTACTTGTAAGTATTTAAAGTAGTTTAAAATGTTGATGATTGCAGAAAATAAAGTTTTGAAGGATATCTTTTTAATGCATTCAATTTTGTATGTTGTTCTAGATTATTTTAAATGTATTAATTCCACTTATTTTTAAACTTCAGTAATTAATATATTTTTGAACATCATATTTTATTTGTGCTTTTCTAAAGCTTAAGGTAAACATTTAAAAAACAAGTTTAAATTGATATAGATGTCTTTAATTTTGAAAAAAATATGTGTCCAGATAACTATCAAAGTATAAATGTATTAGGTATAACTGAAACTTCTCTTTTGCCAGACTTGATAATAATAGAGATATGTTGAATTTAAGATCCATCACACATGTATTTGAAGAAAATTTTGGTGCCAAATTTTGGTGCAACTCCCCCAAAATAAAACAAAACCTAGTTTACTCATCAGCATCTTTCCCTATTTTTCTCTAAAACCCTTAGGGGGATAGTCTGAAGTTGCCCTTTTTCTGCTTTCTTAGCAGTTTCTTTCTATGCTTATGTGGTTTTATAACTATTTGCTTGTATGCTTTTACTATACTGTTAGTTCCTTGAGGGAAGATACTTTTGTCTGTATATCTCTTTTACATTTTCAGTAATTCTTTCAGTGCTGGCACATAGTAGGCATTTAGAATATATTTGTTGAATAAATAAATTTGAATGGTTCACATTAAAAAATTAAAGATGGGTGGGAGAAAGCATTTACATGGAAAAAACCTAGTGTGGCCTTTCTAAATACTGCTGTTTTAGATGGTTCTGCCTTTTTTTCAGGAGGCAGTGGTAGTGGCTGTTCATTTGAGTATTACATAAGAATTAAATGAATAGTACATTTTATTATTCTCTTTTACATTGTAATAAATAGAAATTTGGACTAGGATTGGGCTGAAACTTTTAAAGTCTTGTAATCAATTTTAAAGAGGAAATTTTATTTAACAATACACCTTTATGGAATGCTTGTTATATGCTAGGCCCCCTGTGAAGCAAACAGAATTGCATCTTTTATTTTTCACATAGACTTTTAATTGAACTCATTTAGACCTGTGGTTCTCAACCTGGGATGATTTTTGTCCTTCACAGACACTTGGCAATTGTGTGAAGACTGGGAGGGTTGTTACTGACACCTAGTAGATGCTAGGTCTGCGCCCCAAACAAAGAATTACCTGGTTCCAAATGTCACTAGTGTTAAGGTTGAGAAACCTGGTTTAGATCTATATGTTTGGGGTTTGAGGTTATCTTTGATTTCTAGTTGTATTTGCTTTGTGATAAGTGATTGTGATCTGTGTATTAGTTCTTTTTGTATGTGTTGAGATTTACTTTGTAATTTATTGTTTTTTCAATTTTTATAAATGTTCTAAAATTAGTTAAAATTATGTGTATTCTCTAATGGATGTTCTTTATTTGTCTTTGGGTCGAGATTGTTAATTGTGTTGTTAAAAATCTTCAAAATCCTTACCAATTTATTTTTACTGGGCTTTCTCTTAGAACAGTGGTTGGCAAACTTGTTAGTCAACAGAGCCAAATATCAACAGTACAACGATTGAAATTTCTTTTGAGAGCCAAATTTTTTAAACTTAAACTATATAGGTGGGTACATTGTTATTAACTTAATTAGGGTACTCCTAAGCTGGCCTTTGTTAAAAATGTCCTCAATCTGATTGAGGTACGTTCGCTGAGGTCGACCCCTTCCAACTCTCCCATCCACACTCATCTTGTATACTTGTTTCACATAGACGAGTGTGGATGGGAGAGTTGGAAGGGGTCGACCTCAGCGAAAGTACCTCAAAACAATGTACCTCCCCCGCGCTGCATATCCCGCGTATCCCTCGGCCTGACCGACCGACCGAAACCCCCACTTTTTCTAACGCCACTTCTTCAAATTAGACTCGCCCAGGCTGAAAACGCCACTTCTTCAAAATAGACTCGCCCAGGCTGAAAACGACTTCTGCGCCTGGGCCACGAAGTTTCAGTCACACTGTACGTGTGCGCCCGCACGTGGTATTTTGTGGAAGAGCCACACTCAAGGGGCCAAAGAGCCGCATGTGGCTCGCAAGCCGCGGTTTGCCGACCACTGTGTTAGAAATATGTTAATATCCTTTATTAAGGGTGTGGATTTGTCACTTTCTTTGTGAAATTCTCTCAGATTTTGTCTTTTATGTTTTGAGTCTTCTGTTCATACAAGTTCATGATTATTATCTTCCTGGGAATCTGTTATTTTTCCATCATAGAAGAGACAAACTTTCTTAGTTCTCATTGTGAGTTATCCTTTCATTGAGGGTAAAGCTTTTCAGGTCTCAGCTTTATGTGGGATCTCAGTTCCATCTCTAAGCCTGGTGTGAGTCCAACACCTTGAGATCTAAAAACTTTAAAACCATTGGCAAACACAGTGTTAGTGCTTGTTATTTTTTCCCGTTACCTTGGAGAACTCTACTTTCTCTTTTGTGCTTCAGATATGCCTTCAAAAGGTTATATGTTATGTTTTATCCAGCTTTTCCAGCTGTAGTGGGGAATTTTTAAGTTATCTATTTTATTCAGTTACTGCAATTGGACATTTAAAATAATATATTTTTATTGATTGTTTTTTTTTAAGAGAGAAAGGAAGAGAGAGAAATACATTGATTTGTTGTTCCACTTATTTATGCATTCATTGGTTGATCCTTGCATGTGCCCCAAAGGGAGATTGAACCCTCAACCTTGGCGTTTGGGGACGATGTTCAAAGCAACTGAGCTACCTGACTAGGGCACAACTGGGAATTTGTTTGCCTAGTTCTTTACTTTGTATTCTTTCTGTTTGTTTTCCTTTGTTAACATTTTCCTATTCATATTTCTCTTTAGTTTTAGCTCTCTCCACTCATTTTTATCCAATATGGAAGGCAATAATAATGTTCATTTGGCTTTTTCAATCCTCATCTGAGGATATGTATTTTTTCATTGAGAGAGGGAGGGAGGAAGAAAAAGAAGGGAGGGAGGGAGAGAGGGAGAGAGGCAAGGTTGGAGGGGGCGGGAGGGGAGAGAGAGAGAGAGAGAGAGAGAGAGAGAGAGAGAGAGAGAGAGAAACATTGATGTGAGAAACATTGATCGGTTGCTTCCCATCCACTTGTGCCCTGACCAGGGATTGAACCTGCAACCTGGGTATGTCCCTGACCGGGAATGGAACCCACGTCCCCTTGGTGCACAGGATGGCACTCTAATCACTAAGCAATGTTGGTGAGGGCCCATTTAAAAATTTTAAGCAATTTGATTAAAATAGTACTGCATAGCCCTAGACTGTTTGGCTTAGTGGAAAATGTCAGCCTGCTGACCAAAGGGTCCTGGGTTTGATTCTGGTCAAGGGCACATACCTCTGTTGCAGGCTCCTCCTTGGCCTGGGCCTGGTTGGGTCGTGCAGGAGGCAACCAATCAATGTGTTTCTATCACATCGATATTTCTCTTTGTCTTTTCCTCTCTTCCACTCTCTCTAAAAATGGTAGACAATATTTGGAAAAATATCTTCGGGTGAGGATTAAAAAAAAAGTACTGCATAGGAAATGTGACAAAAATTAATGACAATAAATCACAGTTTATACTACAGTTTAATCTTGAGTCTACCATCTAATTTTAGTTTTGTTTTATTTTTACAGTTTAAAACAGAATGGAAAATTCCCTGGAAATCCTTGGCCTCCTTATAAGAAAAGGACACCACTCCATCCCAGCTATAAAGGTCTCATGAGACTATTGCACTGTAAAACTTTACATATTGTGCTATTCACTCTGCTTTACAAGGTACAGTAGTGATTTGAATAGAAAGATTCCGATTAGAATTTATTTCCATAATTTTCAAATAGAAGTGCTAAAGGATAATATTTACATAAAAGTACCACTTATAAAGCAAAGTGTATTTATACATTTAAGATGTATGAGGGTATGTTATAATCACATGTTTATGAATTCTAAGTTAAAAATAATAGAATAACTATACCATTCTTTGTGGGAAACTATGTTATCCAGTTCCAGATTAGGAATATTTATAGATAGCTTCTGTAGAACAAGAAGTGAATATGGTGAGATTACAGGGAGATTGGGATGAACAACAGGGACCAAACAACCACCAGTAGCTACTAACATGACAAAACTAAGATGACAGCTATGGGGGACAGTAACCCTGTGTTTAAGGTTGTTCTCTTGGTTTTTTCACTCTTATCAGGAATGTGACTTGGAGGGATGTGAATGGGTTCCTATATGACACATTAAGATTTTGCTCGTGTTAAAGACTTTAGAAACTCAAAAGATGATATTTTTACTTTCCTCTTACCTTGAATTTGTTTTATTCTTGGCTCTTTTCACATAAACTGACTTATTTATTTGGCTAACATTAATAGTGTACTAAAAAATTGCATGCATAATATTGTGGTGTATGCATATAAAACAGGCATATTTATGATGTAATCTGGATAAGAGATGAAAGACAAAAGAACTATACTCATGTTATAAGATGAAATTACTATAGACAGTTACAAAGTAACTATAGACATAATAAACATATAATTAGATACAAAGAAAAACTACTGTTCTTCCTAATTAGAATTTGAAAAATTAAAAAGCATAGAAAGAAAAATAAGCATATTTGTTATGCAAATTTCCATTTGCATAACACATACACATTTGTTAATTACTTAAGAAAATATATATTAAACTTAGTTTAATACACATTTATTAATTACTTAAGAAAATATATATTAAACTTAGTTAAATAGACACTAGATTTTTTCTTAATGTTTGCTATGTACTAGTAATGGAATAATCCTTTTAGATTTTTGTATCCCTCCCTACCTGAGCAATTTTTCAATTTATTCTTGTTAAAATTTTAGACATGTGTTTCAAAATATCTTAAGTGGTTTATTTTTATTAATTTCCAAGAGGATTATTCAATAAAATTATTAAAATTTTTCTTTTCTTCATTAAAAATGTAAAATATTTTTCCTTACTAAAATTATATTTGTATTTATTTTACAAATAACAGACATTTTTGAATGTTTACTTAGTGCTAGATTTTGTTTCAAATGCTTTATATGTACTTATATACATTACTTTGTTTAATTCTAGCAAAATTTATGAGTTAAAGGTATTATTTTTATTTTTCAGATATGATTTTTAAGTTTTAGAGGTTAAATAACTAGTTCAGATGGTTAATCTGAGCACTGTTATAATTAATGAGTAGTAAGTCAATAATTTATGATTTAAAAATTAAAGTCTTACTGTGAATGATTTATGTTCTCTCAAGTTATATTTTTCAACCTTTTATTTGCTTACTGTAAAAATAGCATTTTATCAAAAATAGAAAGGCAGTGTTATAAGGTTATTACGAACAAATTTTTTAAGGTCTGAACTTTATAATAGCTTTTAATTTAATAATAATAGAAAAAACTTATCTAACTGACATTGCATTGGCAAGTCAACTTTCTAAAAACCAATGTCAGTAAAACATTTTCTCTCCTGCCATGTTTATTAACAAACATTAATATAGAACATGTTAATAAAATTCCCCAGAAAAGTCACTTTAATTTTTTCGCAGTATCTAATAAAGTGATTTTTTTCTTAGCTATGAAATTGAAGCTGTAAGATGGAATGTCACAGGATTTCAAGCCAAAATTTACTTGAATTTAGTAATATTTTATGTATCAAGAGGAGGCAGTGTAGTAATGGTAGATAATCTTTGGGAGTCTGAAATCTGTGTTCTAGTTTTGCTTACACTAACTGAATGTGTGGCTGAGGCTTGGTTTCCTTTATAAAGTAGCAGATTAAAAGGATGACCTCTGTTGCCTCCCAGCCTTCAACCCACTTCTACTGCTGCTCTGATATCCTTGTCATCAGTAGAAGAGTGTCAGCAAATTAGGATGTAAAATATTCTTGTTATTTTTTCAGATACTAGTATATTTATAATAATGGATTTAGTGGACTGTTTAATGTGTTAACCTTTAGGAAATCAGTGAAATCTTATTTTTAGATATTGCTTAAAATACTGTGTGATCACCCTAACCGGTTTGGCTCAGTGTATAGAGTGTCGGCCTGCGGACTCAAGGGTCCCAGGTTCAATTCCGGTCAAGGGCATGTACCTTGGTTGCAGGCACATACCCAGTAGGGAGTGTGTAGGAGGCAGCTGATCGATGTTTCTAACTCTCTATCCCTCTCCCTTCCTCTCTGTAAAAAAAAAAAAAAAAAAAGAAAAGAAAAAAAAAGTGTGATCTTGCATGGGAACTTGTATTTTTGGTTTAGTTTGTCTTTTCACCAAGTTGTAGCTTTATTACATGTTTGATCATGCTATATACTTATATATATGTTTATTTTTTTAATCTATGACATTAAAATGTTTTTGGATATTTAAATGTAATATATTTTGTGGAAAAAAGTAATTATGAGGCATTTTTTTCCCTTTTTAAAGATTTTAATGGATCATCAAAATCTGTCAGAACATGTACTCTGCATGGTTTTATATCTGATTGAATTAGGACTTGAAAATTCAGCTGATGAGGAATCAGATGAAGAGGTAAGTAATTTTGTACATTTTTAGACATTAAAGCTTATAACATTCCTTAATAAAGGTAATATGTCATCTTGAAATGTATTTACAAAATCATCTTATATATGATCTTAACAACTACTGGAAAAGGCTCTTTTTGATCTTTAAATTCAGGGGTTTTTAGCAGTTTCACTGATACATTACACTCTACTTGTAGAATTATTGAATTTGAAATTGGTAAATTCATAATCTGTAGACCTGAGAAAAGTAGTTAATGAATTTTTGGTGTTATGGTAATAACATTGATTACTGGTAATAATCAGTTCAGTCTAGAAAGTCTAATAATTTGATTAGTGATTATTTTTGAGAAGCAAATTTTTTGGGTAAAGATTTTAAGTTAGTGAAGTGAATGGTGTTTTATGGGAGAACTAGAGGCCCGGTACATGAAATTCTTGCACTTGGCAGGTAGTGGGGGGAGGAGGTCTCTCAGCCTGGCTTGCACCCTCTCGCAGTCCAGGAGCCCTGGGAGATGTCTGACTGATGGCTTAGGCCCTCGGGGAGCGGGTCTGAGCCGGCACTTGAACATACTTAGTGCTGCGTGGAGGTGGGAGAGGCTCTGGCCATCGCTGCTGCGATTGCCAGCTGTGAGCCTGGCTTCTGGCTGAGAGTGGTGCTCGCCTTGTGGAAGTGCATTGACCACCAGGGGGCAGCTCCTGCATTGAGCGTCTGCCCCCTGATGGTCAGTGTGCGTCATAGTGAGCGGTCGTTCCATCTTTCGGTCGATTTGCATATTAACCTTTTATTACATAAGATGTTTAAAGTACTTAAGTATACTAGTTAAGATCTTTCAGGACTTTAAAAGTATCATTCCATAAAAGCAATTGTTTCTACAAATTGATTTTAAAATATAAGGGTTCCTCATTCCCTCCCTTCAAAAAGACAAAATACAACACAACAGCAAAAAAAAAACAAAAACAAAAAAACAAACCAAGTAAAAAGACTAGGCAGTTGAATCAACATATATTTTCCCATAGATATTAAAGGATCATTAAGATTCCTCTAAGACTAGGTCAGACTTTTAGTTGATTTTTCACACTTTCTTCTACAATTATTCCATATTACCATTATTTGGCTATATAATGAGTTGCTACTAACGAGTGATGAAAAATATTCTGTACGTTAAGTATTTTCAGATTTAAAATGTACTTTTCAGGAGAAATTTAGCTGACTTCCTTTGAATTTACCCATATTAGTATTGAAAAATTTATTCTTGTATTTTGTGTTTGAATTTGGTTTTATTAGCACTTTATAATTTGTGGATGAGGCTATGGGGATTTAAGAATATGACAGACAGTGGATGATTATTTGGGCTTGTTACACCTCCCTTGTACCTTAGACCTGACTTGACAAGGCTTGATATTCATTATGTTTATGTTTTAGGCATCAGTGTGTGGACCAGAACGTTGTCATGACAGTTGGTTTCCTGGCAGTAATTTAGTAGCCAACATGCGACACTTTATAAACTATGTTAGAGTGAGAGTTCCAGAGACTGCTCCTGAAGTGAAGAGAGACTCACCTGCAAGTACCAGCTCTGATAGCTTGGGTTCTTTACAAGTAAGTGTGGAGGGGAGAAAGAAAAAAAGGAAACGCTTTATGTTATGTTCGGACAGATACATTGTTTAGGTCATCCTGTGATATCCAAAAGAAAAATAAATGTGGTTGTAGGTAACTATAAATTGTCTTTTATTTTCTCTGATATATCTAAGCAGCTTCACCTCTCTTTTTCCTTTAATCTGCCAGAGTTCACGAAGGCCTAAAGTTCTTCAAAGAGAGGTAGATGTATGTGATATTTGCATTAACTAGCAATATGGCTTTAACTGGAAATGTGGAAAAACACTGAAGTATTTGTGTGTGTATATGTATGTTTAATTAATATGGTTAAATTTAAAGAGGTGTTTCTTTAATGTATACGTGTGTGTTTTTAATATAGTGATTTAGGTATAAATTTAAAGGAAATTCATATTATTGAACTTAAAAATAATACTGAGTGCTTAATAGTGGGTTTTTCTTGGTAGTATTAGAAGTATTTTACATCAATTATGAGCAGCACATTTGGGTCTGTTTACATTTAGCATTGTTACTAACAACTTAAAAATAAATGTTTCCTAAATCAAAATAAATTAAATGTTTAATTGCTGGCAGCATGCCCATTTATAATTTTTTTATTATGGCAATTAATTAACTTTGATAAAATAAGCTCTCAAAACTTAAACTCTATATATTGTGTATTTGGATTCATTTTGGAAATCAGCTCTCATTGCATGTAGCTTAATTAATTTTTAAAAAGCAGAAATGAAATATATTGCAGTGACATGTCAAATAACTAAACTTAAACACCTAAAGCCTACAATCTATATTTTTGTGAGTAGGGAACATTGAATCAGACATTTCTCGTAGTAGAGTCCTGTGGTCAGAGATTTCTTTGCCTTTGACAACATGTTCTTGCTGTGAACATCATAAAGAGTTTTTATTAAAATATTGGAATCTTTCTAAGAGGCAGCTTTTGCCTCTTAGGCTGGTAGAGAGTATTTTGAAAAACACCTTGGCCCTCGCCAAGTTGTTCAGTGGTTAGAGCATAAGCCCAAGGACCAAAGGGTTGTGGGTTCGATTCTCAGTCAAGGGCACATACCTTGCTTGTAGGCTCGATCCCCAGCCTGGGTCGGGGGCCTGTCAAGGCATATGTGGGAGGCAACTAATCCATGTGTCTCTCTCACATAGATGTTTCTCTCTCTCTCTCTCTCACTCTCTCTCTCTCTCTCTCTCTCTCTGGCTTTTGCTCTTTCTCTCTTCCCCTCCCCCTCCCTTCCACTCTAAAAAAAATCAATGAAAAAATATCCTGGGGTGAGGATTAAAAAAATTAGAAAAACAGTTTGGATGTTGAAAAATAGTGTATATTATAATTTAACTCATCAAAGCATTGGAGCATTGTTTTTATTCTTGCTTCAAAAATTAATGAAATGTATTAAACTGATGTGTGTCTTAATTAAAAATGATTTCTAAGAGCTCTAATTCAGTTTGACAGCTTTAGGGTAAAGGCTGTTTAGACAATACATTGAAAAAAATGGTTTTTAAAAATCTGTTCAAATAACAAATTATAGTGATACTCAAATATGAAACAGATAAATTTGATTTTCCATCTTTATATTTCATAATAATAACTTTAAGCATATGTTAGAAATAATTTTCAAACTTTTGAAGTTCCTTAAAAATGAAATTAATTAGCAGTTCATATTTATTAGCGTAGAAAAAATTAATTTATAATTTTCTTCACTGGAAAATATGGCAGTTTTTTAGAAATTAGTAGAGTATAGTATTCTTTTTTTTTTAAATCCTCACCTGAGGATATTTTTCCATTGATTTTTATTTTTTTAAAATATATTTTTATTGATTTCAGAGAGTAAGGGAGAGGGAAAGAGACACAAACATCAATGATGAGAGAGAATCATTGATCGGTTACCTCCTGTACGCCCCACACTGGGGATCGAGCCTGCAACCTGGGCATGTGCCCTGATTGGGAATCAAACTGTGACCTTCTGTTTTATAAATTGATGCTCAACCACTGAGCCATGCCAGCTGAGCTCCATTGATTTTTAGAGAGAGTGGAAGGGAGGGGGAGAAACATAGACAGAAACGTTGATGTGAGAGAGACACATCGATTGGTTGTCACCTGCATGTGCCCGTTGGGTGGCAGGGCTGGTGTGGCCAGGGTTTCAAGCCTGCAGCCAAGGTCATCCCTTGACCAGAATTGAACCTGGGACATTTAAGTCTGCGCTGATGCACTATCCAGTGAGCCAAACTAGCTAGGGCAAATATGGTATTCTTGATGAATGTTGGGTAGAATAGCTTTTCTTTTTTTAAACTGATGAGGAACTTAATTTATGATTCCTCTTTAATATGACTATAGATACTACTCAAGCTTAGTCTGTTTTCTCTAGTAGATAGATAGATTCAGGAAGTTGCAAAAGAGTTGTTATCTTGGATTATCTCCTTTCTCCTCTTCATTGTTATTTTCAGATTGAGTGGGTCTAAGTACATGTAGGAAAGAGAGGTGAAGAGGCAGATTTCTTAAAAAGAAAATCTATTGAAACATATCTGCATGAAACTTTGAACATTCCCTTTGGAAAATGTAGTACTAATATGTTTTTAAACTTGACACTGAATAACTTCTTTGATTTCTTTCTTTTTCTTTTTTAATGGTAGAATTCTGGTACAGCCCAGGTTTTCAGCTTAGTAGCAGAGCGTAGAAAGAAGTTTCAGGAGATCATCAATCGTAGCAGCAATGAAGCAAATCAGGTGGTTCGTCCTAAAACTTCAAGTAAATGGTCTGCTCCTGGTTCAGCTCCACAGTTAACTACAGCCATTTTGGAAATTAAAGAAAGTATATTGTCTTTGCTAATTAAACTTCACCACAAACTCTCAGGAAAACAAAACTCCTACTATCCTCCTTGGCTTGATGACATAGAAATTTTGATCCAACCAGAAATTCCTAAATATAGTCATGGAGATGGTATAACTGCGGTAGAGAGAATTTTACTAAAAGCTGCATTGCAAAGCAGAATGAACAAACGTATCATTGAAGAGATATGTAGAAAAGTGACCCCTCCTGTACCACCCAGAAAAGTCACTGCAGCAGAGAAGAAAACATTGGACAAAGAAGAAAGGTAATTTTTTATTTTTACTGTTTTTAACATGAAGTACAGTTTAAGATTTGATATAGCTTCCCTTATTGGCTGAGGACCTGGGTGTTTAGTAGGTATAATCATAGCTTAATGTTTTGTAAGATAAATGGAACCAAATGTAGTTGGTGCTTGTGTGTGTAGTATGCTTGAGTTAGTTGTTGTTGAGAAAACAAGGTTTCTGACCCCAGCATTAAATTACTGCCTTAAACTTGTAGGTCCCTGTGGAAAATTGCTACTTCTGTAATTACCATGGGAATCTAATAAATCTCCTGCTGTTTTCAAAAACTTTTATCAATTTAACTTTAAATGAGAACAGAAAATTTAAAAAATATATTTTAAATATATCTCAAAATAAAAATCGGACTATTTTAGTTCCTTTTGGTCCTTTCCACTCTTTTCAGTGTGTGATCACTGATTATTAAACAAGGAATGTTTTAAAACAGTGATGGCGAACCTATGACACGCGTGTCAGAGGTGACACGCGAACTCATTTTTTTGGTTGATTTTTCTTTGTTAAATGGCATTTAAATATATAAAATAAATATTAAAAATATAAGTCTTTGTTTTACTATGGTTGCAAATCTTGAAAAATTTCTATATGTGACACGGCACCAGAGGTAAGTTAGGGTTTTTCAAAATGCTGACACCCTGAGCTCAAAAGGTTCACCATCACTGTTTTAAAACATACTTATGACTCTAGCTTTTGGAACTTTAGATTGCTTTTAATTTGTTGTTAAATCCTGATATTTATAAATTAAAAAAAAATCTTTCTTGGATGATTTTCCTTTTTACCAAGATAAGGGAGGCTAGCAGGAGGCTCAGGCTTAGCAGTAAAATTGATGTGCTCAGGTTTGTCCATTACTGAGTTTAAGAGAGACATCCAAGTGAAGATGTCCAGTCAAATAAATTTGACTTGTAGGGGAGAATTCTGAGTTATAGCTACAGATTTGGGCACATAAATAATAATTAAAGCCTTGTATATGGAAGAGTGTGTACAGTAAGAGAACACTTAATATAGGACTCAAGGAGAAAACATTAAAGGGAGTGACTGAGGAAGGAGTACCCACAAAAGTGACTGAAAAGGGATGGCTAGAGTAGAATAGGAGAACTTCAGAGAGCGGCATTAGAGAAGGCATGAGGAGGTTCAGGAAGGAAGAAACTTCTCAACATTGTTAAGTGCTGCAAAAATTCAGAGAAGATTGGCTGTTCTGTTTGACCATATAGTTAGAAAGTCATCTTTGGTAACTGTATCAGGAGCAATTTTAGTCACATATGTAGTTGTACTTTATTGCTGATGTGATTTCGTTACAGATAATTTGTTACAAGTATACATAAAAGGCTTTGGTATATTATGAATTTAGGAAAGTCCAGATTTCTCATAGTACTTTATAATAGGAAATAGAGGCCTGATGCACGAAATTTGTGCAAGAGTAGGCCTTCCTTCCCCCAGCTGCCAGCACTGGATTCCCTCTGACACCCAGGACCCGAGCTTCCCTCTGGCTGCCGGCAGGCACCCAGGACCCGGGCTTCCCTCGCAGCCCGGCTTTGTCCGAAAGGTCGTCTGGAAGGACATCTGGTCTAATTAGCATATTATACTTTTATTATTATAGATTGTTATAAGTAACAATTTAGATGACAGTTCATTAATTTTGAATTAGTAACTTCCTAGAATTTAATGGATCTGATAAAATCATAAGGTCAAAATGAGTTAAATTTTTATTTTTGTTAGTCTTTTCTAAATTGGTGATTTTTTTTTTTGGTTATAGCATAATGTGTTGGGTTTTTTTTTTTTTTTTTAAGGAAGATAAACATCTGTGAGTCAAAGTTTGTTTTATTTGGTTAAAAACATTTTGTGATTATTACTCAATAGACATGATACTGGAGAACATAGTTCAGATGCTATTTTTACAGAAGCTCTAATGCTATTATAATAAATAATATTCTAAAAAAAATTCCAAGACTTTCTTTGTAATGGGCTTTAGTTACTTTGAGCACTGATGGTATTGACAAAAAGTTGAAACTATTTCTATAGCAGACAGCTAAGAATTAAGATGAATCTATTTGAATCTCACTATGCTTCTCACATTATCTTTTCTCAGTTTATTTTGGCTTTGGGATAAAGTTTTATAATAAGGGCAGAATAGTTCACAAGCATTTAATGATGATCCATTCCCAAGTACCTGATCTATAGACAAATTTGGCATCACTTTCATAATAGATTAACTCCATAGAAAACTAGATACAAATAGGAAACCTTAGATGGTTGTAACATTATGCAATCTCAGTGTCTCCACCTCTGGGGTAATAATGGAAAATTCTTGAGTTGTACTGAATCTGCCAGAACTTGTTTATGTTTTTATTCATATCTGTGCCCAATTTTAGAAAAGAATAACCTACATTAAGAAAAATTAACAATGAAAGGAAAAAATAACAATGACACTCCTCCCCTCCCCCCGGAAATTATAGAAAGCTAGTATAGATATACATTTTTTTAGCAGCTTAAAGCGATACCCATTTATTTACTCACTGTTTCTGTATGTCCAAGTCCAGACATCGTGTGACTGGATTCTCCGCTCAGTCTCACAGGCTAAAATCAAGGTGACAGCCATACTGATCTAGAGCTTAGTCTTCTGGGCTCATGTGGTTGTGGCAGAATAGAAATGCATTTTAATTCTAGTGCCAAGCAGTTACATTTGAGGCTTTCTTATGTTTGATATGTGGATTTGTTTTTTGAAATATTCTCTTACGGAATATATTCTAAATGTACATGTACATGTTTAAAGGTAAGCTGTAAAGTGCAATAACAGTGTTTTAATTAAAAAAAAACATACTAAGCCTTATAAATTTACAAAATAGTGCTATACGAGACCAAGCATGTATCCTGTCAAGGCTATTGTTACTTATAGCACTTTTGGAGGTCTCATAGAATGCTCTGAGCAACTATAGCATATTTTTGTTTGTTTCCACGTTTTCTATGGTGGCAAATTTTTGTCTTTTGAGGATGGATTTAATTTTTCAAACCATTTTATTTTATTTTATTTTATTTTATTTTATTTATTTTATTTTTTGTATTGTAAGACAAACTCTAATCCGCCTCATTTATTCTTTTTTTTAAATAAATCTTTATTGTTCAGATTATTACAGTTGTTCCTCTTTTATCCCCCCATAACTTCCCTCCACCCAGTTCCCACCCCACCCTCTGCCCTTACCCGCCCCTACTGTCCTCATCCATAGGTGTACGATTTTTGTCCAATCTCTCCCCCCGCCCCCCAGAATTGTCAGTCCACTCCCTTTCTATCCCCATTTTACTCTGTTCATCAGATTTTTTATTCACTTGATTTTTAGATTCACTTGTTGATAGATGTGTAATTGTTGTTCATAATTTTTATCTTTACCTTTTTTCTTCTTCTTCCTCTTCTTAAAGAATACCTTTCAGCATTTCATATAATACTGGTTTGGTGGTGATGAACTCCTTTAGCTTTTTCTTATCAGTGAAGCTCTTTATCTGACCTTCAATTCTACATGATAGCTTTGCTGGATAAAGTAATCTTGGTTGTAGGTTCTTGCTATTCATCACTTTGAATATTTCTTGCCACTCCCTTCTGGCCTGCATAGTTTCTGTTGAGAAATCAGCTGACAATTGTATGGGTACTCCCTTGTAGGTAACTGACTTTTTTTTCTCTTGCTGCTTTTAAGATTCTCTCTTTGTCTTTTGCCCTTGGCATTTTAATTATGATGTGTCTTGGCCCTTTGAGATTCCTTTTGTTTGGGGTTCTCTGCGCTTCCTGGACTTGTAAGTCTATTTCTTTCACCAGGTAGGGGAAGTTTTTTGTCATTATTTCTTTAAATAGGTTTTCAATATCTTTCTCTCTCTCTTCTTCTGGCACCCCTATAATTCGGATGTTGGTACACTTGAAGTTGTCCCAGAGGCTCCTTACACTATCTTGATATTTTTGGATTCTTTTTTTCTTTTTGCTTTTCCGTTTGGGTATTTTTTGCTTCTTCATATTTCAAATCTTTGACTTGATTCTTGGGATCCTCTTGTCTGCTGTTGGATCTCTGTATATTATTCTTTATTTCAGTCAGTGTATGCTTAATTTCTAGTTGGTCCTTTTTCATATCCTCGAGGGTCTCACTAAATTTATCAGCGGTTTCTAGAAAATTCTTGAAAAACCTTATAACCGTGGTTTTGAACTCTATATCCAGTAGTTTGCTTTCCTCCATTTCTGTCATTTGTGATCTGTTTCTTTGTCTCCGCATTTTGGCTGCTTCCCTGTGTTGATAGAGTGGCTTTGTGTGCTAGGTGTCCTATAGGGCCCAGTGGCTCAGCCTCCCCAATTACCTGAGGTGGACACTCTTGGTGACCCCTTTGTGGGCTGTGTGCACAGTCTTGTTGTAGTTAAGCCTTGATTGTTGTAGGTATCACTGGGAGGAATTGACCTCCAGGCCAGTTGTCTGTGAGAATCAGCTGTGTCTACAGTGGGAGAACTTCTGTGCTAGAGACACCCTTCTGGGGCAAGACTTGCTTCAGTGGGGCTTTGGTGCTCACTGAGTCTGCCCCCTGAGTGTGCCCCTTATGGATCTGAGGAGTTGTAATCTGGATGGTCCCACTCTGACCACCAGGTACATGGGCTCTTGTATCTCTAAGGAGGTGCTAATTTAGCCTCTGCCTTAGGCTACCCAGCAGGAGCTACAGAGAGATCTGCAGATTCCTCTTCCTTGTTTGGGGTTTGGAGGTGCTCAGATGAGGCCCAGCTGTGAAGCAATGCAAGCTGCTGTGGGGCCTTGAGCCTTCTTTTGGATGTTCTGGTTCTCTCTGACCCAGCTGCAGTTTGTTAGGTAATTTTAGATCTCAAAGGGCCAGGCCTTTCATATGCAAAAGCCTCTGCTCGAAGCTTGGGTGGGGTGGGGTCTCAGGGAATCAACAGGGCGGAGCAAGCAGCTATGGCTGATCCTCAGTCCTGCCCTAAGAGGCCCCTGGGTCTCAGTGTCCCTCGGTAATCTCTGCGAGCACCTCTGAGAAAGCTGCCCTCGAGTTCTGCCTGCTGCCAGACAGTCCAGTTTCTCCCCGTATGAGTCTGGGTCCCCAGAGACTCGCCCGGAACTGGAGTCAGGGCCGTCAGGAGCTTGAGACTCCCTCCGATTGAAAAAGACACCGGCGTCCTCCGTTGCCAGCCCTTTCCACGCGCGTGCCTCCGTACCTCTGCACTTTACTTCCGCACCTCCTCTGAGTCTCAGTGTGCTTTTCTCTTTCCTTCTAGTTGTAGAATTTCCACTCAGCCAGCCTTCCTGTGGTTCTGGGTGATGTCTGTTTTGTCTTTAGTTGTAGTTTTGAAGTGGTTGTGCGAGGCAGCAATTTCAGGTGTTTACCTATGCCACCATCTTGGTTTTCCCCAAACCTTTTTATTTTAAAGAAATCTCAAACTTACAGAAATATTTCAAGGATAGTACAAAGAACTTCCTGGATTATTTAAGAGTAACTTGCTTTACCCTGAAATACTTTAGTGTGTATTTTCTAGACATAAGGGCACTTTCTTATATAATTACAATACAGCTTTTGAAATAAGAAAGTTAACATTTTGTTTAAGTTAAAAATCAATCATTAGATCCCAAGTTCATGTTGCTGTTAACTGTGTACAAAGGCCTTTTCATACATCATATACTCCTGAAAGATAGCAAATAAGCCTTAGCATGCCTGGTACTTATCACTTTATTTCTGTTTAATCTAGGCGACAAAAGGCTAGAGAGAGGCAGCAAAAATTGCTTGCAGAGTTTGCTTCACGACAAAAAAGCTTTATGGAAACTGCAATGGATGTTGGTAAGTCAAACATTATTAATTTAGAACTTTCATAATTACAGTTACTATTTTGGGGACTATTTAGTCTAATCTTCCAGAGATTATTTCTGTTCTTTACTTAAACAATGGATTGATAGAAGATCAGATCTTTATTATAGGAAGTACATTCTGTTGTTGAGGAGCTGCAGTTAGAAAGCTCTTCCTGATGGTAGCAATAGTTTCTTCCCACTGTTCTCTTCTGTTAAATTTTCTTTTAGATTTGTGAGGTTCACCATAATGCATTTACTTACTCTGATTTTTTTGTGTAAGTGAAATTATTTCAAGATCCTTAAACAGTTTCAGATACATCTAGTGCTTCCTCCTTCTGCCACCTTTCAGCATTACTTGAAATTAGGTGCACTTCTCACTTCATTTGCATTTGTACAATGAGAGGCAATGCCATTTTCCTGTATGATGGTAGGTTGGTTTGAGTAATCTTTTACAAACATTGGAGAAATAGATTAAATCTCAATTAATCTTAGTCTTTCATCAACCTGGATATTTCCTTCCCTGACCACTTCTTGCAATCCAGTGATGTTTTTAGACAAAAATGCTGAAAGAAAATAAAGTCAGGCATTTAGTTGAAATGCATATACATATATGCAGTCACATATGCATATACATTCTCATGCACTTTTGTGCACAAAAGCACACATAACCAATGAAAAGGTATGGAGCGGGGTCAGTCCAGATATAGCATAGTATCTTCTAAACCATCAACAGTGGAGTTTATGTTCAGGATATAACTTTGATGTAAAGAATATTTAAATTCTGTATTTTGGATTAACTTAATATCAGTTGACTTTCTTATATGATAGATAAGAATTTAGTTTATTGACACTACATTCCCTTTCTCCATCTCTTCTTTTACTTCTTTCCAAATATTGATAATTATATTTTTTGTTTTTCACATATTAAGTATAATTATAATATCTATTAATTGTTGTATCTATAATCAGTTTCTTCATACTCCTTATATAAAATGAACTAATAAGCACCTCTATCTTTCTTATTTTTCTCATCTCTGTCTTCCACCTTTTAACAGTTACTTGTTTACTTTAAAAAAAATATAAAAAAAAATGGATTATTAGAGAGAAAGGAAGGGAGAGGGAGAAAGATAAACATCCATATGAGAGAAACATGGATCGGCTGTCTCCTGCACACCCCCTACTGGGGATCTAGTCTGCACCCCTGGCATGTGCCCTTACCGGAAATTGAACCTGCGACCTTCTGATGCATGGGATGATGCCCAACCAACTGAACCACACCGGCCAGGGTAGTTACTTGTTTACTTTTAAATTGTCAAGTTTGCTAACATTTTGTTTTACATTTGCAATCAAGTCTTTCATCTAAAGCTTGACTCTAAAAGTTAAAAACAATTAATATGGCCTTTTGAATGTTGTTGAGTACAGGGCTAATGAAGTAGCGTGCTAGAATACATTTACTTTTTTTGAGTTCAGTGGTCTGACACCTGGACCACTTTAAGGAAACTGTGTTTAGTATATAGCCTCTTTTCTTACAGCTCTCTCAACTGCTAAAACCATACCACCTTTTACTCATTTCTATTTGGGCTATTACTTTGTTATATTGTCTTTTGTTTTTCCTGAGGTTTTCAACTACACTTTTTTCTTAACTAATATATCTTTATGGCATCTCTATTATTCTACTCAATGATATTGTCCTTTTTCTGTTATTCTGTTCCAGTCTGGTCCATTTGCTTTGTAGGCATACTGTACAGCCATTGCCTTGGAATTTTTCTCTTGTAGGGTTGATCTAGAGTTTCCTACACCTTATATTATCCCGTTTTTTTGGTCTTGTTTTGTTGGAATGTAGCCTCAAGTATATTCCTAATAATGCTTGTGTGGAGGCTAATCTTTCTAATTCTTTATATTTCTGGATGGGACCTCAATTTGCTCCCATGCTTGATTATTCATTTGGATGAATGTAGAATTCTAGGTTGATACACATTTTCTGTCTCAACTGTTAAGGCAATACTCCCTTGTCTTTTTATTATTCATTTGATGAGAAGTCTGGTGGTAGTTTTGTTTTTATTTTTTCGTAGCTGAGCACCCCCCCCCCCTTTTCTGTGACACTTTTACAGTTGTCTGATTCTTAGAGATATGAGATTTTCTGATTTGTATCTAGGTAGATCTTTTTTCATTCTCTTTAGTACTTAATGGCCTTTTAATCTGAAGATTTATATCTCTGAAGCTCTGAGAAAAATTTTTCCTATGATTTTCTTGATAGTAGTGTAACAGTCATCCTCCAAGGTGACCCTCAATGATCCATGCCTCCTGATATTTATGCCCTGTGAACTCTTCTCCCAAATTGCACCAGAATTGGTGTACTTAACCATTGGAATATGCTAGAAGTGAGATATGTCATTTTTGAGGTTAAGTTTTAAAAGACACTGTGGCTTCTGTCTTGATTGCTTTCTCTCTTTTGGATTACTCATTCTGGGGAAAGCCAGCTGCCATATTGTGAACAGCTCTATGGAGAGGACTGTGTGGTGAGTGACTAAGGCCTCTGGCCAATAGTCGTGTGAGTGAGCTTAGATGTGGAACTTCCAGAAATGGGCACAGCCTAGCTGTTTTTTTGTTAACATTCTTATGACAGAACCCAAGGCAGCACCATCTAGCTAAGCTGCTCCTAGATTCCTGATCCTCAGAAACTGTGTGAGATAATAAATGTTGGTTTAAGCCACTGAATATTGGGGTAATTTGTTAAACAGCAATAGAGAACTATTACAATATTTTTTTCTGTATTTTTCTTTCTTCTCTTTCTGTGGAAGTCCTACTAGTTGGATATTGGATCTTTTAATATTTTATCTTTTATCTCATGTGTTCTTTTGCTTTACATGCTTAGAGATTTCTTCTTTCCAGCATCTTGTTCTTATTTTGTCTATAGATTTTTTTTCTCACATTTTTCTGAATGTGTTAGATGTCTCTCTTCTCTCTGAATTATCCTTCTGAATTACTTAAAATATTTGTTAGTCTTTCATGTTGCTAGTTTTCCTCACTTGCCTGATAATACTTGATTGTCCTGGAAAGATGGTCTAGGTCAGTGATGGCGAACCTTTTGAGCTCGGCGTGTCAGCATTTTGAAAAACCCTAACTTAACTCTGGTGCCGTGTCACATATAGAAATTTTTCAAGATTTGCAACCATAGTAAAACAAAGACTTATATTTTTGATATTTATTTTATATATTTAAATGCCATTTAACAAAGAAAAATCAACCAAAAAAATGAGTTCGCGTGTCACCTCTGACACGCGTGTCATAGGTTTGCCATCACTCTAGGTAGCTAATTTAGGTTTATTCTACTGATGTGTAAATAGGTTTGATCCTTGTTGTTCTTTGTTTTCTTTTTCTTTTTTGTTAATCCTCACCCGAGGATATTTTTCCATTGATTTTTAGAGAGTGGAAAGGAAAGGGAGAGACACACAGAGAGAAACATCAATGTGAGAAAGACACATTAATTGGTTGCCTCAGCATGTGCTCCATGACCAGGGCCAGGGATTGAGCCTGCAACCGAGGTACGTGCTCTTGATCAGAATTGAACTTAGGACGCTTCAGTCCGCAGGCTGACGCTCTATCCACTGAGCCAAATTGGCTAGGGCTGATCCTTATTATTCTGTCTAGTCTGTGTATGTGGGTGAGCCGTGTTGACTGTCAGACTTAGATTTGAGTGGGAGAATGGCACACTGATTGGTTTGAGCCCGTATATGTTAATAATTACCTAGAAACTCCATTGCTCTCCATGCAACTTGTTCAGTTTCTTTGGAGAAGGATAGTCTCTCTCTCCCTGTCTCCTTCCCTTTTTTTTCTTCTGAGATAAATGCCAAGACACCTGAATACTCTGTTCAGTCAATGTTGAGGAAGGACTTGAGTGCTGAATAGTGAGTTCTGTATATAGTCTTTCAATTAATTATAATATTTTCACAATCACTTCATACTTACGATCCCTATTGTTGGATCACTGGCTGATTCTAAGCCTAGATGGACTTTTAAAGGGATAGATCATTTCTGTAACTTTCTCATAATGCACAAGTGTTTGCAGCTTTTATAGCTTTCTTTCACCTTTCAGCATGTCTCCATCTCTTCCGATTGTTCAGAAATTTTATTGACATCTCTTATTTGTTGGTTGGTTCAATTCTCTTTCACAACTCTATCCTTTTTCTATATTCTTTTAGGAATATTTCTTCTTTACTTTTATTTCAGTGTTCTTTTAGAAGGAATGAGCAACAAAAGCCTGTGTTTAGTTTGCAATCTTGAATTAGATACTTACTAATTATTGTAATTAGTATGAAGTTAAAATTTCTGATATAAAAGCATTAAATTGTTATTATAGAATCTTAGAAAACACATATAATTAAAAATAAGAAAATAATACATTTTTTTTGCTACCAGATTTCCTAACTTAGCTTGTATCCTTACAGGGTTTTTCTTTTTAACCACAATGAGATAATTTGCATATGCAATTTTTTTCCTAAGATAAATTTCAAACATACAGAAAATAGTATTATAAATTCCAATGTAACCTTCATTTAGTTAACATTTTTTTTCTTCTTGCACCTCCTTGTTTTCTGTCTCTCTGTTAATAAAGTAAATTCTAGACATCATATCACTTTATTCCTAAACTAGAGGCCTGTTGCACGAAGAGATTCATGCAATAGGCTTTCCTTTCCCCTGGCTGCTGGCACCAGTTTGCCTCCGGCACCCGGGGCCCAGGCCTTCGCACTGGCCGAGTTCTGGCCAGAGCCGGCCCCAGAAACATCAGGCTTCGCTGCTCCGCCGGCCCCAGAAACATCAGGCCTTGCTGCTCCACCGATCCCGGGGACGTGAGGCCTCACTGCTCCGCTGGCCCCGGAAACGTCAGGCCTTGCTGCTCCACCGGCCCCCAGTCGTCAGGCTTCGCTCCACCGCTTGGAGCCTATGTATGCAAATTAACCGCCATCTTTGTTGGCGGTTAATTTGCATATC